TTTTTTTTTTTTTTTTTGAGAAAATATTAAAATTATCTCAAATATCTTTAAAAAGATAAAGAACTTGGAAAACTCTGGGATAATAAGCTTTTACCTAGTTCTCAGAATATCTTAACCAAGTGCTCTCCCACTGAGTTACCTCTGTAGCCCTCGTCAAACTATGCATGAATTGAACACTTACTATAAACACAGCAAAAAAACTGAGTTTTTTCAAATGCTACAGTGTTCAGAAAATCATCTAACATTTATTATGCAAAATTAAACTCCAGTGGCTAGCTTCCACTTAAAATCTACCACTGAATAAAATTTTAAAACATCAAGAAAAGCATTATTGGGACCAGGGAGATGGCTCAGTAGAATAAGTGCTTCCCTGGCAAGCGCGAGGGCCTGAGTTCAATCCCCGGTTCCACCAAAATAAAAAAAAAAAGAAAAGAAAAGCATTATTACTTGGTTCATTGGTGACATACAAAAAAGTTTCTGTAAAAACTATTTCAAAAATCATATATACTATGTTATCTAATTCTACATCAAACAGAGAGAAAGAGAGTAAATGCAGCTAGAAACCTTTCTAGAACGTATATTAGTAAGCTGATTAATATTATGTTTTAGAGCCAGACAGATCTGGATTCAAGTACTGATTCAATTACTTTCTGATTACATCAACAAGAAAAATCTAGTATTACATAAACAGGACAAACCCAGATAAAGAATATAAAGCAAACAATAACTTTCATAGGGCTGTTGTGAAGATTAAATGAGGCAATGCACATAGTACACATAATCTATACCTACACTACAGTAAGTACACATCAGTATTAACTGTTATCATCTTTATTCAAAATAACAGAAACAAATTTACCTACAAGTTATTTTAAGCCAAAAAGTTATCTGTGTTAACTTTCTCTTTATCAACATATATGGACTATGGCTTTGAACACGGAGATAAAGCCAGGAGTAGTGTTGCATGCCTATGATGCCAGCACTTGAGAGACTGAGGCAGAAGAATTGGCATAAGTTGCAGGCCAAAGTGGGTAACTTTATGAATTCAACACCATAGCAAGACCCTGTCTCAAAAAAACAAAAATAATAGAAACAATACTGTACCAACCTCCCTGGGAAAGAGTCTTCTCCTTCTCTTCATCTTCTGCAATCATTTCTGCCATCTCAAGGAGATCAGCTTCAAATGGATGTGCAGGAAGCTTTTCCTTTATGTCATCGACACTTTCATTGACTTTGTCTTCATTATCCATTGAGGATGGAATAAGCATAGGGACAGGCATCTGAAAGACCAAAAACAGACGTAAGAGCTTCTCAAATAATGGATTTGTTTTCAAAATTTGTGAGATGACTTAAGCATAAAAATTTAAAAATTCAGATATTCTTATTACAGATGATTTCACACTCTTAAGAGTTCATTTATAGAAGATTAGAGCCATTAAAATAAGAACACAGAAAGTGCTTTCACACTGAACAAAATCTATAATGTTCCATCTCACTTTTGAAACTGTTATTACATTTTTTTTTTTTTTTTTTTTTTGGCGGAACCGGGGATTGAACTCAGACCCTTGCGCTTGCCAGGGAAGCGCTTATTCCACTGAGCCATCTCCCCAGCCCCTATATTTCTTATTAAATATTTTCATACAAGTGTTTCCCCTAAGGATTTAGTATGGGAAAATGTCACAATTTTAAAATAACTAATTTTTCTTTAAGAAAAAGCTGCAGTTGGGCATGATGGCACATGTCTGGAATCCCAGTACTCAGGAAGCTGAGGCAGGAGGACTGCCACAAGCTTGAGACCAGCCTGGGCTATACAGTGAGTCCAAGGTCTGCCTGAACTACAAAGTCAGACCCTGTCTTCAAAAAAACAAAGGGTAGAAGCGTAAATTACAATATTCTTTTCACCCTTACTAGAAACCAAAATTCTAACGCATATAGTTCCTTAGCTTTTTCTATTTCAGTAGTCTTACTGCTAATGTAACATTTTAAAAAAGCTGCATGTTAACCATGTCTGAGAAACCAGGGTAAAACCAGTCCTCTATATACATCTTATTAAGTAACACTGGTAACATGATAACAGCCACTAGAATCAACTATACTTTACCAATAAGTGAAAGTATTTTCAGAACTATAAGCACTGAATTAATGAAAATGCACCCTTAATCTCTAAACGAACACTCACTGGAACTGGAATTCCAAAAGGAACTGGGGCATACTGTGTATAAAGATGAAGAGGTATGGGCACAAACACTGGCACAGGAACTGGCACCACAATAATCTGGGGCTGACTTGGAGTATCTTCTAATGAGAAAAAAGTCACAAAAAATAAAGAGAGTCAGAAACATTTTAAGTGCTTAAAATTTCATTTTATGAAGGATAGTGTATGCAATAAATGATGCTGGAAAGAATCAATACCCACATATCAAAACATGAAGTTAGATTCTTATCTCCCATGATTCACAAAAATAAACTTGAAAAGGATCAAAGACTTAAATGTTAAGACCTTTAAGTGTGAAACTACTACAAGAAAACGAACAATACTTCAGGATGCTGGTCTAGGGATTTTGTGGATTTGACCCTAAAAGCACATTCAACAAAAATAAAAAGTGACAAATGTTATTACATTAAACTAAACAAGTTCTACACAGCAAAGGAAACAAGAGACTTGAGAGACTCCACAGAATGGAAAAAAATATTCATCAACCAGTCATTTGACAAGGGGATTAACAGCCATTTAATATATATATTAGGCTACAGCAAAAGCAGTACTTGAACCCAAGAGCTCAGGGTCAACCTGGGCAACATAGCGAGACAATATCTTTTAACAACAACAAAGCAAAAACAGAACTCATGAGACCCAGCAATTTCATTACAAGGTATGTGTCCAAAGGAAAGGTAATCAGTACATTGAAGAGGTAATAGCACTTCTATGTTCTACCAACACTGTTCACCTTAGTCAAGCTATAGAGTGAACTTAAGTGACCCTGACAAATGAATAAAGAAAATGTGACAAAATACACACAATAGTACATATAAATGGATAATTATTTAGCTGGAAATAATGAAATCCTATCATTTATGGCAACATAGATGTCTCTAAAGAATACTCTGCTAAATAAACTGGACACAATTACTGAACGTTATTTATTTGTGCAAGCTAAAAAGTTCATCTTATAAAATCAGTTTGTAGAAGTGTAGTTATCAAAAGCTGGGAAGTATAGAGAGTAATGAGTGGGTACAGGGATTCCTCTACAAAGAGCTTCGAATGTTTTATAGTAGAGCAGGGTAAGGATGACTGAAAAATAACAAATTGCATATTTTAAAAGAGCAGAGAATTTTGAAGGTTTCTAGCATTTAAAAAAGGATGCTACAGATACGCATATACAATTATTCTGATCTGATCATAACACACTATGCACATGCACTGAAATTTCCCAATCTGTACTTCTTAAAATACTCTTGCAGATAAATTAAAAAACTTTTAAAGTCTATTTTAAAAAATAAAGTGTAATCAGTGACAGTGAGAATTCTCACAAAAGGTAAAGTAGCATAAAACAGCTTGTGTAGAGTACTAACAAAAAGTAGGTAACATAATAAATAGCAACGATCTGAGTATAAAATGCATGCAAGTATTGGAAAAGTGGTCCTAGAACCTAAGTATGGAAAACTGCGAGGGAAATCATAAACAATAGGCCAGGGACAATGAATAGGGAGAATTTTTGACAGGCTATAATAAGCATTTTTAAATCACCTATAGTAGATTATGGACAGCTAAATTAAACGATGAAAATGACATTTAAAAAATATGAATTTGGGCTGGGGAGACAGGTCAGTAGAATAAGTGCTTGCCTGTCATGTGCCGGGTCCTGAGTTCAACCCCTGGTACCGCAAAAAAAACCCCAAAAAACATGAATTCAGGGTTTGATCCCCGGTACCACAAGTCATGCTGGCCCTGCCCCTGGGGTGCACTGGGATGGCGATTGAGACTGGGCATGGTGGCACGCAACCCTGTAATCCCAGTGCTTGGGAGGCTGAAAACACGAGGATCACTACAAGTCTGATCTATGTAGTGAGATCCTGTAGACCCTGTACTAGGTACATAAAATTAAAACAAAAAAACCATGAATTTGGGTTGGGGAGATAACTGAGAGACATAAGTACCTACCTGGCAAGTGCAAGGTCCCAAGTTTGATCCCCTGCACCACATGCAGTGCCAGCCCCAGAACTCTAGGTGCCCCAACCCAGCCCCAGAAAACCCAGGCACGCCAACCTGGTCCCAGAACCGGGCGTGTGGCAACACACCTATAATCCCATCACTTGGGAGGCTGAGACAGGAGGACTGCTGAGAAGATTGAGACAGCCTGGGGCTACAAAAGTAAGCCCAAGGTCAGCCCAAACTACATGAGACCCTGTCTCAAAAAAAAAAAAGTATCATAAAAAAACATGAATTTGATGATAAATGTGTTCATAGTAAGAGGAAGTATTCTAGGGTGGATTAACAGCAACATGTTTTTTACTATACTAAGTTTTTAAAAATTAAAATATTCCCTATAGTAAAAAACAACCATGAATTTGGGGAAATGCAAATCAAAACTATTTCATCTCACCCCAGATGGAATGGCTATAATTAAGAATACAAAAAACAGCTGGGAGTGGTAGTGCATGCCTGTAATTCCACCACTCAGGATCCCGAGGTAGGAGCACTGAAAGTTCAAGGCCAGCCTGAACTACATAGTGAGACCCTGTCTCAAAAAAAAAGGTTAAATGAAGAATGAAATTGGTAACCATTTTACCACTGAATAAACAACACATAAGCTGCTTAAAGGAGACAATTATGAACAGCTAAGATGGTGAAAGTCTAATCTATGATACATATCTAAAAAAAAATAAACACAACAGATATTCAAAGTATTGAAAAGATGACACAGAACTCAGGAAAAAATTAGTAAGATGACAGATTCATTCTTTTTACCTAACAAGTATGTATAAAGGACTTTCTATGGGCCAGAAAGTACGTTAAATAACTACAAAATCATTAATATAGGAGTACAAGTGACAAGCAAAGCCAACAATTTGACTAAAGCTAGAAGTGGAAAATAAAAAAGAATCAAAATTATCACAGTGCACAGAACATAAAAAATGTCATTTGATGAGGGGTGTTTAACAGCCAAGTTATACAATAGTAAATAAATCACTACTATCAGAATTCATTACATCACAATAAAAAGATATAGCTACATCATCTACCACTTGTCTATTTGGTGTGGTCCAGGCCAGCAATAATGACATTACCTGGAAACTTAGAAGAAATATAAAGTTTTGAGCCCCATTAAATAAGAATACTCTGAGTAAAATTCTCAGGTAATGCATGTACATAATGTTTGAAAAGCATTGGACTATAGGCTAATCTTTTTTTTTTTTTTTTTTTTAACATTTATTTATTGTGTGTGTGTGGCCAGCTCAGCCCACCAGGGGGCGGGGCTGGCTGGCATGTGGTGCTGCAGGATCGAACCGCGGTCCCTGTGCTTTGCCGAGCTTGTTCCAAGTAGGTGCTTTAGACCACTGAGCCATCTCTCCAGCCCTAGGCTAATCTTGAAGATATAGAAATCCAGGATTTCTATTTTAAATTTCTGGGGCTTGTGGGGCATGAGAAGTTACACATAGCCAATTCCTTAGTAAAACAGTAAAAAAGGATGAAAACTACTAAAATACAACTTGAGATATTATCCTAAGGGCATACAGTAAATGAAACATTTCTTTAATAAAATCTATTAAAACTTATGAAGAATAGTAACAGTGTGTGACATTCCATGAATGCTATGTTAGTAGGGCCTGTGGCAAGGAAGAATGAACTTCACTTCCCTCAGATTCCATTCAAAGATTATCAAACTTAAAAGGAGGGACAGGACACCAGCATTTTACATTCCCTCCAATTCAACAGAAGAAGAGGCTAAATTTCTGTTTAGTGTGGCTAAGAGACTGGAAGGTCCCTCTGCAATGAGCTGCTAAGCACAGGGGGAGATCTACCCCAAGGATGGCAGGCCAAGAATAGAGGGGTCCTAGTCCCCCCCTCACCCCAGCTCCTTTGTAGAACAGATGCTATCATACTGCCCAGGATTCAGAAAAGGCACAAAGATTTTGGCAGGATAAGTAGTAGTTCATAAGAAAGTTCTGAAGTCCTCCCAAGGCAAACAACTTTATTTAAAATATGGGAAGGGGAAGAGAGTGCAGCATCTTCAAGGTCTGAGTTGCATGCAGAGTACACTAAGTACAATATAAAATAATTAGAAAGATACATTTTTAAAGAATGTACGTAGTAGTTCAAATTCAATGACACTTGGTTAAACAATAGCACCTCCTAAGAGCTTGTCTGCAATACTGTAAAGCTACATTTATTACATAATGTTACTGTTATTTAATAAAGGAATTAAAGTGTCATAAGATGGCATTACCAATTGACTTCATTCTTTTTGACCAATCAAGTGTATCCAGTCTGTGGCCCACATGCCCCATGCTCTCTTTTTTTTTTTTTCCCATGCTCTCTTTTTAAAAAAAATGTTGTGATCAAGTATTTTCAAAAGGTTATTTGCTTACTCAGATACTTAGATACTTAAATACTTAAATGATGTGTTTTCTATGTACATCAGGCATGTCAACAGGTTAGACAAGCCTTGTTATTAAGGTTCTAACTTCTTTCACCTCAGGGAAAAGTACCCTACTCACAGAAATGTTGTGAGAAATAAATTATCAATTTTTTTTTGGGGGGGGGTGTCAGGGACTGGGAATCAAACTCAGGACTTTGCACTTGCCAAGCAGGTACTGTACCACTGAGCTATATCCTCAGCCTTATCAATGTATATGAACAATCACTACCTAAAAGCTTCTAAACTATAGGTAAGCAGATTCTACATTCTTTTTCCCTAAAGAAAATAAAGTCCAAGGAATATACCTGTCTGGCATTCTTTGTTCTGGGTATGTGGTTTGCAGGAAGTAGCTTTAGTCTGTGTAATCGGTTTACACAACAATGCTTTGTTCTTCAAAAGCCTTGGAGGTTGCGAAGGTGGCAGTTTCAGAGCATCTGTTTGTGTACTTGCCTAGGAAAAAAAGTAAATCAGAAACCAAAGAAGTTTTAAAACTAATCATTAACTGGGCATGGTGATGCAACACCAGTAATACCAGCACTCAGGAGGCTGAGGCAGGATTATAGCTATGAGTTCAAGGCCAGCTTGGGCTACACAGTGAGACCATGACTCAAAAAAGAAAAGTTCTTAACAAATCTAATCATCAATTTCAAGAAATATTATAATTTTAAAAGTAGTACAATATTGGAATTACACAGAACAAACTATATAAATTCAACTAAATGTAAGACATAAAATATTCATAAAATGTTAATAGTAATCAAGCAGTATTTCAATGAACAAATGTTAACTCAAAGTATGTAGTTATCATTTTCATTTACCAAGAAAAACTCTAAAACTGTCTTAACATGTTGTTGAAGAGTTACAATGCTGGCAGGATTTAAAATGAAATCTGTTACTTCTTGACTGAGTTAGAGGAATAATACAGTCAGTCTTAGAGGATTTAAATAGGAACAAGAGAGTTACATATAAACATTTCAATAACAAATAAAGATGATGACATAAAGGTTATCCCACAGGCCAGGAACTACTTTAAAAATGCCACTGCTGGGTGCTAGGAAGATAGCTCAGTGGCTTAAACGCCTGCCTGGCAAGTACAAGGATCTTGGTTTGACCCCTTGTACTGCAAAAAAAAAAAAAAAAAAAAAGATACGATGTAGAAATGCCACTGTTAAAAAAAGAAAAAAAGAAATGCCACTGTTCCACTCATGAGTTTTACTCATTACTTATTTTTTTGGTTACTTTTAAGAGTCAAACTATCAATGAATAGAATAAAAAGGAATGGTTAATATCATCTTCATGGGACAAGAAGAAAATATACTAGCTTTATTCACACATTCACAGTAGAAATTGAACCCAGAGACTTTGCACAGAGCTATATATATCACCAACTCTTTTTTATTTTGAAGATGTATCTTGCAAAGTTGATAAATTGCCCTGGCCAGTCTTCAATTTGCAATTCTCCTGCCCAGATCTCCAAAGAGTGCTGGGATTACATGCCTGCACTACCACTCCTGGATGACAAGTGATGTTTTAGAATATTTTATTCAAAACCTATGTATATTACAAATCATTCAAGAAGTTTCAAAAATTTTCTAAATTCTCCAATTTCTTTTAATTCTGCATAATTTTTTTAAACCATTCATTAACAACATAATGGTTGCAATCAGTCAAAGAAATTGAGGTACACTGAAAACCTAATTAAATAACCAGGAAGTCCTATTCCTGAACAAAAATTATTTTTTATTTTTATTCATTTATTTATTTTTGGTGGAACCGGGGATTGAACTCAGGCCCTTACTGAGCTAACTCCCCAGCTCGCTGAACAAAAATTAAATGGTCTCATGAAATTTACTTTATATAATCAATGAAGGAAGGCAAGTTACATATTTGTACACTATAACAATGGAAAACATAATACAGTCACAATATCACTAATAATAAAAACTTACATCCCCAATGATTTTCGCGGTTACCGTTGGAACTGCACCTTGACAGAAATTAAAACAAAAATTTAGGATCTTTTGTACTTTCTTAAATGTTACCAATAAAAGCTAATTATTGGCCCATAAACAAAGTCTCATACTAAGGACATGTTTATCATCATTTAATTCCATGGAAAGAACTAGTAGTTCTAAAGTATAAGATGAGAAAATGATGATATGAAACTTACATAAACATTATTCAACATCCTAGTAGCCCATAAGGAGCTGCCACTCCTAATCTGAATGTGTCCAATATATAAAATAATGGCTGATGAAATAAAGGAAGGTAACTATATTTAATTAAAAATGCCTAGATAAGCAATTTCAAAATCGAGCCATACCTTGTAAGACACTGTTAGAATTCACTGTGGGCTGTGCAGCAGGAGCATTTGCCAATGATACAACATTAGCTATAACTGGAGTTGAATCTTTTCTGAGAGAAGGGGGCCCTGTGGAAGCAGCTTAAACCATAAAAATACTTACTGATTAAAATAGAAATCTCATATGATTTTTAAGTTCTTATATAAAAAGCAACCTCTAAAGGAGATTAAGCAATGCTCTGAAATTTAAGTAACCTGTTAAAATGAAAGGTCACTTCAAGATTAACTGGGATTTTTAGTTTCATCATTTTTAATTAGTGAAGCTTGAAAGTTCTTAAACTCTGTATAAAAATGGAATTGATAGTGTTACTTAAAAACAACAGGAGCCGAGGAGATAGCTCAGTGGCATAAGTGCCTGTCTGGCAAGGGCAAGGTCCTGAGTTCAATCCGCAGTACCAAAAACAAAACAAAACAAAAAAAACAACAACAACAAAAATCTTCAACAATACAATACCAATGAAGATCAGAGGGTAGATTTAACAGACATTTAAGTATAAAAATGTTTCTTAAATCTTACCTTCACATTTAAAAAACTTTTTAAGTCTCTGGAGTAAGCACTTATAATTCTTATTTCTATTTTATAAAGACACTATACTTGAACTATTTGAGGTTTTGGAACAGTACAAGTTTTATGCTTTTAAGCTATAAAATCTCAAAGATTAAACTGCCTAAATATTTATGTGGTACTTATGATTCAGTCTTCATTTTTCTGTTGTAAGTGGTTTACAATGCAATGGTCAGGACTGAAGCTAGGACCTCCTTACATGCGAGGCAAGTGTTGCGCCACTGAGTTACAACTTCAACTTTTCAAATCTTTTTTTTTTTTTGAGACAGGGTCTCACTATGTAGTTCAGACTGGCCTCAAGCTCATGTCAATCCTCCTGCCTCAGGTTCTCCAGTGCTAGGATTACAGGCATGAGCCACCATACCTGTTTCTTTTCTGTTTGTTTATGTACTGAGGATTGAACCCAAGGGCTTTACAGTGAGCCAACATTTCCAGCACCTTTTTATTTTGTTTTGAAATGAGGTTTCATTAAGTCACCAGGCCACACATGCTGGACTCAAACTGATGATCCTCATGCCTGAGACTCCCACAGTGCTTCCTTATTTAAGGAAGCCAAGATATATCTATACACAATTATAAAACATTAACTTTCTTTCTTTCCCCAAAATTCAAGAATTCAGAGAGTTGGTTGATTCTGAAAAAGTGTTTTGTTTGTTTTTTTTTTTAACTATTTGCCTGCCCTTAAGGTGTTCAACTAAAAAAAGACCTAAATATCAATGCTACTTAAACAAAAATGAAATTTACATTTCATAAATTTACAATTCTTTGAATTTCCTAATGTATAGAGGAAAAGAAGTTTGCTCTGGGCATTTATTGAAGTCTAACTTTACCTGAACTGTTTTGTGAAGGTGGGTCACATACACTTTGCTGATGACAGAACATTAAGATACAAAGCAGGTTACAAAAATGTTTTACTTCCCCTCGCCATTTCAAGGACTCACTAAGTTTACCCTGTCGTTTGCAGCCATCACATTTGGCCATCTGAAATAGAAACAGACACAGAAATAGAAGATAGTAAAGAAAACAAATATATCTGTGGTCTGCTCCCACCAATCCACACAGATTACACCTAATGAGAAAATTAACTTAGACTCTCAGTCATAAAATTGTAGGTGGATGGCCCTAAAATGGTACCAAATCTATCAATAATTGTATACTAAACAATTATTTGATGAACTAAATCATATTACAGAGAATCAAATAAATAGCAATTGAAAAACAAAGTTCAATTTTATTTTTATTTATTTATTTTTGGCAGAAC